AGGGGCTAGAAAACACATTAAAACAACAACAGCGGCTAAAAACAACAATACACGAAAGAAAAATAATGCTTGTACCCCTTGAGAGTACAGGAAAATTCAGATGCCAAAAAACCAAAGAAATGCATATGTTACCGGCCAAAACGGATTTAAGGACAAACTTAAACTAGTTATTCCTAAATTAAACAAGTTCTACCTAGATAAAAAGGCTTTGAATCTGCTTTACAAGATACCAAACAACTTGCTGAAAGTCTTGGAGCTGACACGTCATTTGAGAGCTCAACTCGCAAAAGTACAAAAAAGGATATATTCGTTACGAAAGTCAACTCAAAAAACAATTACAGCATATTAAACCTGCAGCCATCAAACTGCCATTGGAGGTTCTTCAATTTCTCGTAAAGAAACACGTCAACGCTTGCTTTCCTATTGTTTGGATTTCACTGAGGATTTTGTTTACTTTGCCTGTGATGGTTGCCAGCGGGAGCGAAGTTTTTCAAAAGTGAAGCTCATCAAGTCGTACTGAAGATCTACTGTGTCCCAAGAAAGATTAACCCTTTATGTACCTATTATCTATCGAAAACGAGATTGCCACTCAGATCAACTTGTCCAAAACCATCGAAAAATTTGCACAAGCCAAAGTACGCAAAGTAAAATTTTGTATTGATATTTGAAAATTTTAATTATAATAAAAATTAAAAATTCTTAAATTTCGACTATTTTTGCAATACATTGATTCTATTTACGCCCCGGGTGTCGTTACTTCTAAAACCGGCCCTGCATAAATGAAATATAATAAGCTCTAATAAAACTCAACAGCCAAAAACAAAGGGACTTTTCACTTTTTCTTTTCTTAAACCCTTTTCTTCTAAAACTCATGTGTGGGTACATATTTCAATTACCTGATGCTCTTAGTTCAAGAATAGCTTAATTTTTCACACAGGTGGCAACCCCCCTGCATAAAGTTCAGAAATTAAGCTTTCAGCACCATTTCCATTGATATCTTTACTGTAATAGTTCCTTTAACTTATTATATAATTTAATTCGACTTTTCAAACAGTTGGCAACCCTGCTCAAAATATATGCAAAGTACATAAACCCTTCTTAAACCTATTTCGTATGACGCCCATATTATGATACCTATTTCAATTTCCCAATTTCCTTAATCCAAGTAAAACTTAATTCCTTACACAAGGGGGCAACTCTTCTACATTCATATAGAAATAAACCTTTTTCAAAACCATTTAGATTGATACTCATATTGAAAAAGTACATATAACTAATTAAATAAATTTAATTACATTTAGTTTTTTAACAAGTGGCAACCTTAAGCAACATTATTTTATGTACAATATATAGTTACACATATAGATGCATAACAAAGGTGACGACAACATAACACCTTTTCACTTGTTCCGAGTTTATTCAAGATCAACCAAGACAAAAGCCTTTGGAAAGAAAATAGTAAATTTTGGCAACTATCTTCAAAGCTATTTACTGTCTTTCGAAAAACGAATTGAAAGATCTGCTCACGGGGAGGTCTTAGCGTTACGATGTCCGCCTTTTAGCAATAAGTTCTTTAAATATTAAAGTAAAATAAAGAAAATACATATAAATTTTTCTTTTTAAAACAATAAAAAGTACTAAATAAAAAAATAATAATTAAGAAATTAAAAATAAATAAAACAAAATTAAAATAAAGAACAAATAAACACAAATATTTTTAAAAATTAAATTATTTTTTTTTTCTTTTTAAAACAATAAAAATTAATGAATAAAAGAATATTAAATTACAAATTGATAAAAAAAATAAAAATAAAATAAAGTAAAATAAAGAACAAATATTTTTTTTTTATGAATGAAATAGTTTTTTCTTTTTAAAAACAATAAAATCTTAACATTAAATTATAGAAATCAAAAAATGTATTCAAAAATGAGAGAACTAGTACTTTAAGATTAAATTAAATAAAAAAATACATTTATTTTTAAAACAAAATTTAAAAATTAAAATAAAATTTTACTAAAAAGATGACAAAAATACATACTTATAATTTAAACAAGTAAGAAAGTCTAAGTTCGGGCGGAGCCGAACATTAAATACCCGGCGCAAGTATTAAATATATGTTTTCCACCTTTCCGAAAGCTACCGCTACATGATAAGCCGGGGTGTATACATTTTAAGTAAATTAGCAACCTTAAATTTCGAAATATTGAAATTTCAAGCATATCTGAAATTTACCGTTATATGAAAAGCGGCCTCAATTTTAGTCCGATTTCAACAATTTTCAACGGTTTGCTTTTATGTGGCAAGCACAATAACCATACCGAGCTTGGTACAAATTGCTAGAACGGTTAGCGAGATACATATATGTGATCACAAGTGGGCGGTGCTACGCCCATTTTCCAAAATTTTGTCATAAACGTATTTCTTGGTAAAGAATTGTTGCAATCATCAATTTTGAATAAATTAGCTTCAATATTTACTGATTTATCGAAGATTTTGTATTTCTCGAAATTACCGTTATATGGGATGTGGGCGTGGTTGTTGTCCGATTTTAGAAATTTTCGGCCAGTTGGTATGCTGTACCAGGACCAACAACTGTGCCAAGTTTGGAAGAAATTGGTGTAGCGGTTACCAAGATATACACATGTAACCATAAGTGGGCGTGGCTACGCCCATTTGCCAAAATTTTGTAATATTCTTATTTTTCGTCTAAAACTCATTGCAAATATCAATTTTGAGTGAATTATCTTCAGTAGTTACTAAAATATCGCAGTTTTCGTATTTCTTAAAATTACCGTTATATGGGAGGTAGGCGTGGTTATTATCCGATTTCGCCCATTTTCAATACCATCCGTCCCACGCCCAAAAGAAGTTCACGTACCAAGTTTTGTTAAGATATCTCATTTTTTACTCGAGTTATCGTGTGCACAGACGGACGGACGGACGGACGGACGGACGGACGGACGGACAGACAGTCACCGCTTAATCGATTTCTCTTTTCATTCTGATCATTTATGTATACATTTGTCTATATCTATCTCGATTCGTTTTGCCTGTTACAAACAACCGTTATGTGAACAAAGTTAGAATACCCTTGTGCACAAGTGCGCTCGGGTATAAAAAAAAAAAAGTAAGATCCTAAAATTTAAATTAAATAAAAGAAATATATATTATTTTAATAATAATAATAATAATATTAATTATAAAAATAATAATAATAATAGATTGGCGCTTACATATATCAAGGCGTGCACCTTGATGTTGTCACACAAAGTGGAGGGACCTACAGTTTTACGCCGACTCCGAACGGTGATTGTATTTTAATGAGAAGCTGTTTTTGTGACGGACGACCGCTGTTAAGAAAAAACCTTTTTCTATATTTTTTAATAACAAAATATAAAAATAAGAGGAAATTAAACTGAAAAAAGAGAAAACGAATTTAATATAAAAAAAGCAAAAAAATCTATAAATAGAATCAAATTAAAAAAAAAAAATGTTTTAAAACAATAAAATGTAAAAATTATGTGTTTCTTTAAAAATAAGTAAAATCTAAAAATTAAGAAAAAATTTAATAAAAAACATAAAAAATAACTTAAAATACATAAAATAATACCCAAAATATTAAATGAAATAAAGCATTTTTTTTTTAACATTAAAGTACAAAAATTAAAGGAAAACTAAACTAAAAAAATACAAATTTAATAAAAATAAATAAAATAACTTCCTATAAATTAAATTAAATTAAAAACATCTTCTTTTTGAAACAATAACATCTAAAAATTAAAAGAAAATATAATTCAATTAATATATTAAATATTTTTCTTTTTAAAACATTAACATCTAAATATTAAAAGAATATTTAATTAAAGACGAACAAAAAATGTTAATTAAAAAAATATAAAGAAAATTCCACTGCTAAGATTCGATCTCTCGAATGGCACGCCTGTGCTTTGCTCACTCGACCATTGCGACTGTTGGAGCTACTCGAGCTAAGTTATATATACATAAGTGCCTTTTCTCAAAATAACTTTTCACCACGAGTGGTGAATGAGAAATTTTTTTTTTCTAATTTTTTTGTGATAGAATAAAAAGATAAAAAGAATCTTTCCAGCTACCTTGCCATCTGTCTTTCATTCGTCTTACGAAAGACTTTTCACTACCTTAGCCAGAATTTCCGTCTTAACAAAAATTATTTTTATTTGCAATAGAAAGAAGCGACACCGCGACCTAGAACATATTTTGTATCCCTATCATGTTTCTTACCTCTGGCGGCTTGAAATCTTATCAGTCTCCCAGTTTAAAGCTAAAATTATCTGGGTAGATGGATTTTACTACACTGCGTTGTATCGAAACTTTACAGTAAGATTTTAAAGTTTAAAGCAAAATTTGAAGTCAATTTTATCTCGGAACTTTTTTTCTTAGATTGATTGATTAGATAAGGGACCGAAATCAAAGAGGCAGGAGTAGAGTACAATTCGAATAGGCAATAATTCTTACCAAATCAGTGACTAAATTTGGACTAGTTGTTGGGTGCCATAATGAAGGTTTTTTCTGCAGTCATTATTTAAACGCGAACATACAATATAGTTTAAATTAATTTTTCCTTGATGGCTCATAGACAGAAGTACATGTAAATGACACCTAATTTCGGGCGAAAAACATTTCCCATTTGATTAATTAAGTAATAATATTTAATCACCTAGAGCATGTAAAAATAAAAAATTCGAACCACCTTGGGCCAGTATGCATCATAAATATTTTACCAGCCAAAATGTTCGCTTGTTGCATATCCGCCACGAACTCGGCAATTAAAAGATAACAAGATAACTATGTGTATAATTTGTACATAAAAGTGATGTTTCCCTGGGGAGTCAATTATGTATTACGCAACAACAAGCAACATTAGAATACTAGAGGGACTTTTTATTTGTTTTCCATTTCAAATGTTATAAAAACGCCAAACAAACACCAACTGTTGACAAATTCCGGCAATCCGAAAAGCATGCAGGGCACTCAGTTACGAAGCTATACTCTCGCATTACTGCTAATTACAAATGCAGTCAGAGTTGTTGCCGCGCAATTCGACTTAGCGAACTACACTTTGATAAATTTTCTGCAGGATGTGCAACGCCAAGACAATTTTGAGCAGCTGGTATTCGCACACAATCGTAATGCAACTGAAATAGCGACATTTGGTGCAGCCATGAAGGTCGGCGTTGAGAGCGAACTTCATGTCATAAAAGATTCTCGAAATATGGATGAGTCACAATTCATACGAGATGCAATGGTCGATTTGGGTATACCAGTTATACTCTTAAGCGAGCTGAGCAAGGATTTTTTAAAGCAGCATTTCAGCGCTGCCTTAATGGTGGTGGTATACATAGAAGAGTCGCTTGCTGCACAGACTGCTTTACTCAGAGCGCTGGTGGCTAATTTGAAGCATCGAACACAATCCAAAATATTATTTTTAATAAACACTGAGAAGGCAAAGGCAACTTGTGATGACGCGTTTCTGCGGCAGCTCTTTCAATTTGGTTGGCGGAGTAAAATGATTAATGTGGTGGCGCTATGCAGCGACTACAAGGTAGGGCCCTTTGTGGCTGATAGGGGTATTTTGATGTTGTTGGTATTGTGGTGTCTATTGATTTTTCTACCTTTCACTCTTGTCACAAACTCTTTCAGGTCACAGCCCGCTTCTTCAGCTACAACCACTTTCCCGACTTTACGCTGGAGCACAAGTCTTTCAGGCCAGATCTTCTCCACCACGGTCCCATCTATCCACAACGTCTCGGCGATCTACAGGGCTACAAATTATCCTTTATAATGGGTGGCTCTGATCCACGCCTTATTGTCTACAATTATAATGGTGCCAGAATATTAGGCGGCTTTGCTGGCCACTTTCTCACTACATTTGCAAGCAAGCGTAATTGCACGCTCTACGAACCGCTGCCTGCTCCGTCGAATACACGTTTTGCGCCTGCGCGAGATTTGATTGCCGCAGTGCGTAATGGCACCGTTGAAATTTCAATTGGACTCACTTTTCCGCAGCGTCTTTCATTTGACGGCTTCACTTATCCCTACGAGCACGTGAATTGGTGCGTTTGGTCACCAATAGAGCCAGATATACCTAATTATGAATTCTTTTGGATCGTTTTCGAAGGTTTAACCTTCGTTCTGACGTTGGCTATAATCTTTGTTATTTCACTTGTACTAAGTTGCGCGCTCTGGCAACATGGCAAAAAACCGGACACACTGCATTTCTTCATTCATGATGCATGTCTACGCGGTGTATTGGGTCAATCTTTTCGAGAGATACAGCGTGCTCCCTTTGTCGTACGCTTTATTTATCTACAAATCTATGCACTCGGCATTTTGCTTACCACTTCGTACAATGCATACTTTGCCACATATTGGACGAGTGCACCGAAGCAACCACCTCTTCGCTCTTTCGACGATATTCTCGCCTCAAGCAAGAAAGTTTATATGTTTGCACCAGAGTACAAGGAGTTATTCGATCGCGCCGAGGATTTGCGAAAGTACACGCCAATGGTTCAGGTAGAAAGCGATTATCATCGATATCTAAGCACTCGTAATGCATTCGATACGAAGTATATCTACATGATACCAACAACCAAGTGGAACATCTTTAGGGAACAACAAAAGATTTTCACTACACCCCTTTTCCGTATGCGCCACGATTTGTGTCTCTATCATAATATTCCGTTGGGTTTTCCCATACACAGCAATTCGATATTTGCGCAGAAGCTAAATGAAATGATTTTAGAAACTACTGAGTTTGGTCTTGTCGAATATTGGTCACAGATTTCGTTTATGGACTTGATCAGAGCAGGTCGTTTGAAATTTGTAGACTTGAGTCGCAAAAATGAATTCCGCCCAATGAAGGTGGAGGACTTAAAATTGGTCTGGATAGGCTTGGGCGTTATGTGCGTGGCGATGGTTTTCGTCTTTCTCACAGAGCGATGCTGCTATTATCGACGCAAACGGAAAACTACCGAGCGCTGATTGCAAAAAAGGGGGTACATTAAAAGTAACAACAATATAACAGAATACAACAGCAATACGAGGAACAGCCTTGGTATCGTGCTAACCGGGCATCGAACTAGGGCTGCGACATCGACATCAATTTTTGCTTTCCGATATTTGGACAACATCGATTTATTGGCTGGAGGTTTTTCATGGATGTTCATGGAGGAGAATCAGAAAGTCATCTGGAAACATTTTGTGTTCAGCTATTTAATTCCGGCCTTGATATCTGCTATTGGTTTTTATAAAATATGAAGGTATACCAATGGTTTAAACATTGTCTATTCCTTTATGATTTTACTAGCCGATCTCCTACGCGCAAGGCTTAGCCATGCGCTGGATGTGTAGATATTAAATAAGATACGATTGACAACTAAACAGGTTGCAACCCTACTAAAATATAATATATAATTGCGCAACTAGTGGCCGCGCAAATCTAATGTTATTAACAAAAAATGCCCTCGCGTATTATAAATACATAATTTTTAAGTAGATGGCAACCCCACTCGAAAAAAAAATAAAAACTTATTGCACACGCAGAGACCATATCCTTTCACTTGGTACCTCAGTTTTTGGTCCTTCACCGTTTATTGTCTTATAATTTTTAAAAAGTGGCAACCCTACTCAGAAAGTAATGTATTATTGTGCATCTAAAAGCCGAGCCCTTTTTTCAAACCTGATTTCTTGTAATCCAACCAACAGTGCGGATCTAATAGTTTTTTAGACAGGTGGCAACCGTATAGAAATTTAAAGTACTAAAGATAATATTCCTATCGATACAGATTATACTAAAAAAATCTCGTATAAATCCGTTCAGCAGTTTTTGAGATTAGCGTGGTCAAAATATCTCGACTTTCCTTTATACTATGTATAGAAGATAGTAATTTTTTAATAGATGGCAACCCTATTCGAAAAATGAAAGCTTTTGTACATGCGGAGGTCAGGCCCTTTCATCTGGTACCTCATTTTGTAATCCAACGAATAGCGAAAATCGTTTACCTTTTTAATAGGTGGCAACCCTACTCAGAAAAATAATACATTATTGCACGTGTAGAGACTAAGTCTTTTCGTTTGACAGTGACGGTACAGAACTGATGCCTACGCTTATTATGATTGAATATAGTAATTTTTAACAGATGGCAACCCTATTAAAAAAAACATAAGTGCTACTCTAGAGGCCAATCATTTTCATCTGACCCCTCATCTTTTATAATCCAAAGAACAGTGTGGATCTTATAGTTTTTTAGACAGGTGGCAATCCTATTAAAATTCTAAGTAAAAAAAGTTCCCTCTCCTGTCGATGCAGAGTATATTAGAGAAAATCTCGTCAAAATCCGTTCAATAGTTTTCGAGATTACCGCGTACAAAAAATATCGACTTTCCTTTCCTTTCCTTTCCTTAGTTTTAAGTTAACTTTCTGTTTTTTCGCATATTATTGTGGATATAGTGCTGACAAAAATTGCAACCAATAAATTGACACAAAAAAATATCGATGTTTTAAATATCTAAACTAAGTGCCAGAATGGTGTTTTCTTTTCTACCGAAAAGTGGTATCTTTTGTATGTATTAAGCCTTCTTAGCAATGCCTACAGTAGCGATGGCTGGAGGTTTGCCAACGATTTAGTGATCGTAGCGACTATACATATGGTCGTGAATACTGCGAAATACGCAAAGCGAACAACAAGAAAATGGCAGATTGTTCAACGAAAGACGTGGAATATTCGACATGAAAAAACGTCAAGTGGAAGAATGTTGCGAACAGCGAGTGAATGAGAGAATGTTCAGTTATATAAAGACGTTGCTACAATGCACACAAAGTTCAGTAGGGAATCAGCAAGCTTCAAGTTCCAGTTGTGAAAGTTCAATAAAGTTAATTTTACTATAATTTGGCGACGTTGAGCGTTGTTTAAAAATCCAGCGATACGAACCAAAGGGATTTTGGGAAATCCGTCAGGTATTCATAATCGTAACAATACTGTCCTATCAAAAAGCCTTCCGTAAACTCACAAGGACAGTTGGGTCTAATAAGCCCCATTTTCGTTTACACCTAAATGCCTGTACTCATCCTACCTACATGAATAGCCTGTAAATTAGTTCAGATGACTCCTGCCGCTACTACGATGGGGCGGCGGAAACGTCACAACAACTTCTTTTAGGATGCGACGCGGTCGGCAGAAGCAGATAGATACAACTGGGGAGCTGTGGTCACGTACATTTACATTTGCAATTCCTAAATCTACTTTTAATAAATTTTGGCTAATTTTTTTATAGATATAATTTTTTGAACTTTGAAATTTTTTTGCACATTAGATAAAGTTGTGTTCAAAAATTTTTAATTAATTCAAATTTACTTTTAATTTAGAGTTTAGCAAGCTTTTTTTTTGTAAAACAATAATATCTTAGGAAAAAACATCTTCTCGAAAATTTCTAGATCTTTTAACGTTAGTTTGAGGTACTGTTAAAAAAAAAAATACCCAAAAATGTATATAGGTTTTTGTCTTTAAAATTTTTAAATTTCGAAATTCTTTAATTTATCATTAATCGATTTTTTTAGTGGAAATTCATCATTAAATCCACTTGTGGAAAAGCTTAAATTTTTTTTGATTTTTTTATCACAAATAAGAAAAAATTGTATGTTTTACTTCGAAATTAACCATTATTTTAAAAAGTGTATAATACAATGGAGCTTACGTACATTTTTTGCAATACGGGCGCTTTTTACCCTTTTTAGAAAAGATTTTCTGCAAAACTGCATATGTACAAAAATTGTTTCAAGTGCAAAATTTATATTAAAATTTCCATGACGTGCAAAATTTTTATGAAAATTTCCATAAAGTTTGGAATTCCGATTTTTGGAGTTTTTGTTGTAGTTTTAGCCATAATTTTACATAGAGTTATTTCCAAGAGAGGCAGGTCATTAAATTCTTTGGTCTTTGCTGTCTCAAGTTAGAAAGAAGGCTTAACACCTCCAGCCCCATTATTTTTTGTACCAGCCTACCATTCAAATTTCTTCAAAATTTTATAGATAATCTGAGGTAAACCGTAGATCAATATGCATCAATTGAAGGAAAATCGAATTTCGATTTTCCATTTTTTTTTAGTTGATCCACGGATCGAATCGGAACTAGAAAGTGAACCAAAAAATCGAATCGGAAGGGCTCGATTAATCGACCGTCGATTTGATCGATTTAAAAACGGCATCTCCAGTTGGTACTGAGCTCAGCACATTCCATGATCAAGACATTGAGTAGAGTAATTCAGGCAAAAAATCAGAATATGCGAGATGCAGAGAAGAGATTACTCCATGGAGAACTTCAGGAAAATATTCGAATTTGTGAGCGGAATTAGCAAAAAATTCTTACTTCATGTCCGCTTCTAGACCGCTTTTTTTCTAGTTGTATTTTTTTTATGCATCGAGTTCCCGAAATATTTAAAAAACGTTGCCATATTCCCCCACAATGTTCAAATTCCACCACTTTACTCACTGTAAATCTATTGCAACTAATCGATTTTAATTTAGTTAACTTTTTCAATGGTTTTGAATTTCGCTAATTCTCTTGAAGCAGCAAAAATATTTCGTACATAATTGACACTCTGTCGTATTGGTATGCCCGCCAAGTCTGTCACAAATTTTGCTATAGTAAAAAAAATTTGCGCAACCACCTATAACACAATTACTAAATGCTAATCTAAATTACGCAATTATCTTGTAATTTAAATGAAATCTTTTCCCATTTGGATAGTTAAAATGCCATAAGTACATACATACATACATATGTGCGCAGTTACATACATATGTTGGCGGACATAACTTCTGTTCCAAAAGTACCCAGAAGTTCTAGTTTCAACAAACCGTATACAAATTTGCAAGATTCGGGAAAATAACCCAAAAAAATTAAGGACACCTTTGAGCTTAAGTTGACTGCAGTGAGAAATTTCCGTCTGGGTTTAGTTTTTATGTTGGACACCCATTAGTTAACAAAATTTTGACAGTGAAACGCTACTCGCAGCTGGTGAAACAACACCATCTTATATAAATTCGCCTTGAGTGCACCCTTATTTCGATCACCATCGCAGCAAACGACTATGATTTGGAGTCATGCACCTAAAATTGCCGGTTCCTTAAGGTGGAAAATGCCTCTGCCCGGTTGGTTTATGTCCTCGCTTACGCTAAGGCTGACAAGGAAATCGTTGGAGCTTGATTCCTCTACTAGAGCTGCAATTTAAAGGAAGCCGAATTCGGTGTTAGATTTGTAGTTTGAGAGAGATCGCGGTGCTAAGTACTGTCGATTATTCCACTGGATGAGTGCGTCACAATCGGCATCAAAGCGTTTTTCTGCAAAATCAAACTCTCTTGCGCTCACAAAAAACAAGGTGTCCAAAATACCTCTTTTATGAGCGCATCAAGCACAATTACAATCGCTGCCCCGCCAAACAATAAAAGTCGGACTAGGCGATTTTAATGGGCGCTTTGGTCCCACTGTTTATAAAGCGAAAGGCAAGAATCCAAATCTATTTTACTGTGGTAAACGAAACGCACGCTTCCAGTGTTTTGGACGTGTGTACGATCCGAGTGCCAAATATCGCCCTGGGTGACTATCTTCTTGTAGCCCAGATACGCACATGCCTCACTTCGGCAAACAAAAAAAATTTCGGCAAGCAATGCCAGGAACTTTCTCGCAGTTTCTTACATTTAATTCTATGACTGAAGGAGGAAGTGTTTGCACTGATTACTGGCCACATAGTGGCTGATCAGGCTAGTTAGTCCTATTTCCCATTCCTTTGTAGAGCGAAGCACTCAGCTTATTTCAGCCGGTTATATGCCTTAATTAAATTAACTATACCTCCAAAAATTTATATGTTAGGGCATATCCTACAAGAAGTAAACATTTCCCCTAGTTTTTTTAGCGTGACTAATCTCAAAGTTAAAGGAGGCGAGCTGTTCTGTAATATCGTGTTTTTGTCTAGATCTCCTACATAAGGAATTTTCGCTTCATTCCACAATGCATCTTACTTCCGCTCATTACTTCTAAGACGGAAAACTCTGAAGCCAACAGGCTGCTGAAAGTTTTTCAAATACGAACTCTATCCAGACGCTTAACGGAGGTTCAGCATCATCAGCTATAGATCCTTCCCGGGGTGCTCTGCAGACACCTTCGATACTTTGCCCGGTGCGAGAGCCCACTCCTCCCTAGGCAACAATGTCCTTGCAACTCTACAAATCTTCGGAACTTACCAGAATTTTTTCCGCCCAACTAAAAGCAGCTAAAAAACATACAGTTGCACTACTTTCTCCGATTTTTATAGCCTGCTTAACATTAACTCACACGCCATACGGGAGGACAATGGCAAAGGTGGGCAACGTCATTCATGTGGAACCGAAAAATTTCAAGCTTATAAACCTCACTTATTTTCTTCTCTAGAGAGGCACATTGATGAATAAATTCGGCGGAATATAAAAAATTACAATATCCCCTCGAACCCACACGCATATTCTAAGGAAAATTTCGTGGAGACAGCGCTTCACGAAATCGTATCGACGATTGAAAAAGGATTGTACATAAACAAATACACTCTCCTTTTTGAAAATAAAACTATTCTTTTAGAACTAGGGTACGGTTCCATAGCTATACATCTGGCCAGAGGCACTCCCCAAGGATACGTTCTCTACATCTGCAAATTCGGATTGAGTTATTTCAAAATACACTCAGTCTTATAAAAATCTGCACCAAGAAATTTGGCAGCATCAATCCTACGAAGACCGAGGTGGTACTATTCACGAGAAAGTATAAAATTCCTTATACTCTCAACCAAGGTCAAATAGCTTGTAATTATTCTAAGTAGGAACATTGGCTGGAAGCGAAACACCAAAGACGGCTCCAGGAAGCCCACTACCACCCTGTATGCCTGCAAGGCGGCTATAGCCAAACAATTTGCAATAAACCCATGTGCGCTCCATGCATCACTTGGGTCAACACTGAAGACCAAATTTTACGTTAGGGATGCCAGATTAATGTACCGACTTTGCGCTTTAAGAGTATGCTGCGCGCTCCGAACAATGTCAGAGAAGGCTGCATTCGTAATAGCAGGTATCTGTCCTAATGACTAGACTGCGAATAATATGCAAAATACGGAGCCTAGAAATGTATACATTTTGTTTACAGTTAAGTGCTACATATTTTTAAGCTCCGTTTTCTGTATCAAAATCGTATTCGAAGACGCTGAACATTATTATTATTTTTTATTTGCCCGTAGTTTGCAGCCCAAATGGGGGACTTGACCATAAAGGTGGGGAAGGCAGCTTTAAACTTGTAGATCTTGAGTCAATTGAAAATCGATCCATAGAGGATTGAAAGCAGAAGTACACGTGAGTGTTCTTAGCGGCCGCATAGCCGACGAGCTTGCAAGGAAACTCAAGAAAATATCCGAGATCAATTGTGCTCAAAACGCGGGCATACCTCGCACCTCCTACAAATAAAAATTAAAGGCTGTACTCATCGAGGAGGTAAATACCAAGTGGGAAAGTACCTCACACACAGCTCTCACTCTGCTTGACCGCTCATCTTTCAGATTAGTAGTCGGAATAATCACTAGACACGGTCTTATACGCATGCATGGAAAGAGGTTGGGATAGCCAATCAATGACCTCGATCAAACCCGGTTCAATTATGGAAAACCCAATGGTTTAAAGCACGCTGGAATATTGTGATACACTTTGAACATAATGTCCTTAACACAGATACATACATACCCCACTTTAAATTACCTGAAGCTTTGGAAGAGTGTGGCAAAACTATTAACAGCATATCCACGTGTCTGTGTATACATATGTTACGTATTCAAAAAATATAGTCCCTTATGAATCAATTTGCAGTGGCATAAAGCCAGTAATGACGGCGGAGCGGCATTGCTGAAGCCACTAAATTGCAATAAAAGCGCAAGTCCAGCCCCAGCTGCTGACATTTTCCTGCAATTCGGCGAGAATGGAGCGCACTCAACTTCTAGTCGGCAGTCTCGCATTACTCCTAATAACAAGCGCAGTCAGTGGTGCTGCGGCACAAGACGACTTAGCAGACTATACTGTGATGAATTTTCTGCAGGATGTGCAACGCATAGACAACTTTGAGCAGCTGGTTTTCACACGCAATCGCAATGCAACTGGATTGGCGGCATTCGGTGTAGCTGCAAATATTCCGTTGAAAAGTCGCCATAAGGAATTGAGACGCTATCAAAATTTTATGCTGGACTCGACTTTGGATGAGTCACAATTCGTGCGCGACTTGATGGCCGACCTTGGGGTTCCAGTTATACTTATGAACGAGCTGAGCACGGTTTTATTAGAGCAGCATTTCAGCGCCGCCTTGATGGTGGTTGTATACATGGAAGAACCGCTTGCAGCACAGACAACGTTACTCAAAGCGCTGGTGGCTAGTTTGATGCATCGAACACAATCCAAAATATTATTTTTAATAAACACTGAGACCGCGAAGGCAACTTGTGATGACGCGTTACTGCAGCAGCTCTTTCAATTTTGTTGGCGGAGTAAAATGACTAATGTGGTGGCGCTATGCAGTGACTACAAAGTAGGGCTCTTTGTGGCTGATAGGCCTATTTTGATGTTGCTCTCATTATGGTGTCTATTAATTTTCCTACCTTTCACTTTTTTTTCAAAAATTCTTTCAGGTAACCGCCCGCTTCTACAGCTACAACCACTTTCCCGACTTTACGCTGGAGCGCAAGTCGTTAAGCTTGGATCTTTTCCACCATGGTCCCATCTATCCACAACGTCTCGGCAATTTACAGGGCTATAAATTGTCCTTTATAATGAGTGGCACTGATCCACGCCTCGTTGTGTACGATTACAAGGGTGAAAGGATAATGGGCGGCTATGCTGGCCACTTCCTCACTAGCTTTGCAAGCAAGCACAATTGCACGCTCTACGAACCGCTGCCTGCTCCCTCGATCACACGATTTGCGCCAGCTCAGGAATGTGTTGCCGCTGTGCGTAATGGCACTGTCGATATCTCGATTGGTCTTACTTTTCCTCGCATGACTTCTGATAAAAAATTCACCTTTGATGGCCTCACTTATCCTTACGAGCATGCGAATTGGTGCGCTTGGTCGCCACTAGAACCAGATGTACCGCACTATGAATTCTTTTGGATTGTTTTCGAGGGTTTAGCATTCGCCTTGACGTTGCTTACAATCTTTGTTATTTCGATTGTGTTAAGTTTTGCACTCTGGCAGTACGACCACAAACCGGACGTGACTCGTTTTTTCTTGCATGACGCATGTCTACGCGGTGTATTGGCTCAGTCCTTTCGGGAGCTAGCATACGCTCCTTTCGTCATACGCTTCATCTATTTGCAAATCTGTATACTTGGTATTCTGCTAACCACCTCGTACAATGCATACTTTGCCGCTTACTGGACAAGTGCCCCGAAAGAGCCACCCTTTCGCTCCTTCAATGATATTCTCCACTCGAACATGAAGGTTTACATGTTTGCTCCAGAGTACAATGAGTTGTTCGCTCGTGCCGAGGATTTGCGAAAATATACGCCAATGTTTCAGATTGAGGGGGATTATCAAAGATTTCTACGCACTCGTGATGCATTCAATACGAAATATATCTACATGATAGCATTGAGCAAGTGGAAAATCTTTAGAGAGCAACAAAAGGTTTTCACCACTCCGCTTTTCCGTATGCGCCACGATTTGTGTCTCTATCACAATATTCCACTTAGCTTTCCCATACACAGCAATTCTATATTCGCGGAAAAATTAAATGAAATGATTTTGGAGACAATGGAGTCAGGTCTAATCGAACACTGGTCGCAGACATCGTTTTTGGAGTTAATCAGAGCAGGTCGTTTGAAGTTTGTCGACTTGAGCCGCAAGAATGAATTCAGACCAATGAAAGTGGAGGACTTAAAATACGTTTGGATCGGATATGGCGTCATGTGCTTGGTAATGGTTTTGGTTTTCGTTGCAGAGCAATGCTGCTACGGATGTAAGCGTAAAACTAATCCTCCGGCCATAATGTGGTTGGAAGAAAATTTTTGAATTTTCCAAGATTAAATTTTGTATTAATAATATGCACCGCTGCACCCCTTTACGTACAGACGCTAACCAGGTGTGTTTGTCGGAAGTCTATTTGATAAGAAAAAGATAATAGAATTGATTGAGTACCTAGCCTGAATGAAATTACACAAAAAACTATTATAACTATTTAAATACATATATTATTGTGAAAAATAAACGCTTTATTGCACAAACTTACAAGCTAATTGTCATGGGTTTTCTTCACACTGAAATTGACAGCATTTAATACGGAAATTTCGGGCGTTGATGGCTAGTCAAATAAGCCAATTCAATTTGGATTCGATAAGAAATTTAAGTCTGACTTCGCACTAATAGTATATGCGTTATAATCACCCCCACCGTTACCATTATCCTTACCGTAACCAATACCACTACCATTATCATTACCGTTACTTCCAATTACTACCACTAGCATTACCATTACTATTACCATTTCCTCCAATTAACCTTACCATTACCAACACTTACCCTTACCATTACCCTTTACCATTACCATTACACCTTTCCATTACCATTACCCTTTACCATTAACATTACCCTTTGCCACTTCATTACTTTTGTCATTACCTTTACGATTTCTATTGCCTCCCATTGCCCATACCCATTATCATTACTATTCACATTGCGATTTTCGTTGTCATTGCCATCACCTTTACCAATACCATTACTGTTTACCTTTACCATTACCCTTTGCCACTTCCATTGCCCTTTGCCCTTAATTACCTCTACCAATACTATTTCCTCCCATTTCCCTTACCCATTACCATTATCATTACCATTACCAATACCGTTACCATGACCATTACACTACCATTAATATTACATTACCGCTATCATTACCATCCACCATACATCTATCCGATATCCCTTGCTTAATTCGCCATGATAACTTGCATCCTTTTTTATTTGATTATCCGGGGAAACCACTTAACCGGGATTCTTTCAATCGAAAAGTTCAGTGGGGTACAACTAATATTCGGGGGATGCTATTTGTGTTTGAGTATATCGTAGTAAGAGAGTAGGTTGCATGCTTACACGGTGGCCATATGAAATCTAAAGCGGGCTATCTAAAGAGTGCGGGCGATCTCATTTCTCGAAATTTTTGTGACAATATTTAGGAAAACCACTGGAAGCCAACTGGTTATGGAAGCCTATCACGGGTTGCATTCTTTCCCAGTTACACCGTGAATCCTAATAGCGAGTTGGTATCACCTCAGGACGAAAATCTAGGGATTCTCCTAGGTACACTCTTCCTCGGTTTAGATTAGAGGCCTGCCCAAATGATATTACTTTTACTGTACTCTATTGCACACTTCATGCACATCAATGCAGTAATGAAGCAAATGCAGTAATGAAGCAAATGCTCAACACTATAAATGAAGTGAAGCTTTCGGCTTGCTCGCAATCAAAACAAATATTGTAGTGCCCCTGCTGGCTATCGTTACTGCAATGACAGTATTTTTTTGCCTACTTAAAGGACCACTAAATACATCAAAATAACGGGACATTACAGCAGCTTCAATAAAACAATTGGGTGTGTAGTAAACTGTAGCAACTTTTATGTTCAATGTTAGTCATTTTTTGTTAGTACACCGCGACTCTGCATACATGGAATTTTATTGCTGTACAGTAGTTACACTCGACAGTAAATGCAGTAGTGCTTGATTTTTGATTACAGCAATGTTTTGTTGCAGTAAAGTTTTGATTCGCTATTTGCAGTAGTACCGGCTTGACAGTAGTTGAAAGCTCTGAGGAAATGAAGTATAGTATACCAAAATTGGCAAATGTTTTGATTGCCCTTCCTAAACAATTTATGCAGCCCTCTACTTCAGGTCGTTTTTATGAGAAGCTTTTCAGAATGGCAGAAATATACTCGCAGGTCCTACGGAGTAGGTGTACACAACTCTAACCACTCAGCTACAGCAGCCCTTAGTACTTGGTATTTAGTAAATACAAATTTTCCCATCACTGGTTAAAACATGCGCTACTTTGGAAAGCGACGAAAATATAACCACACCCACTGATTTATCAACCTGCCTGCCAATCACTTCTGTCGCAGCTGCCTCGGTGCAAAAAGAAATTGAAAGCATAAAGCACTTTTCTGTCTCTGTGCTGACCTGGAGGGGACATTATTTCTGTAACTGTCTTTCTGATCTAAGCGCTGAAGGCACCCATGACTTTTAGCGGTTCACATAGATTGAGTGAGTCTCTCTGCCTTAATGTATGAGTCGTTTATATTGAAAGTGGCATAAGTCACATCACATCCTTTGTGCTTAAATTACCGGTTACTTGTGTCTGGACGCATCGGTTATTATTTCAACTTCATCAACCACAAGTAGAAAGTTTTATCTTTAATTTATGACGATAGAGTAATTTACAGATGCATTTGGTTAGAAGTAGCCGATCATTTGAAAGTTTCGTTTTTGGTCACAAAAAAAATAGTTATCGCAAATTTTCATTCCCCTATCTTCATTTTTCAGTTAGCGCTCGCAAAAATATGTATTTTTAATGAAAACAATTGAAAAGGGTTGCCACCTGTTAAAAAATTTAATTCTAATTATATAGTAAGTTAAATGAATTAAATATTACAATACGAGTATCAAACGAAATTGTTTTGAAAATACTTTACTTCTAAACTACACACATATAAGGGTCGCCGCCTCTTTTAACAATTAAATTCAGTTTAATTTGGGTAAACTAAAAAATGTATGTATAATAACATGGGTGTCAGACCAAAGAACAAATATTGTTTGATATTTGATATAAATATTTTAATACTTCATATATAAAATTTTTTTATAATTTAATTAAATTCGGTTTGCAAACAGGTGACGACCCGCTTCAAAATATTTGCCAGCTATGACCTTAAACCTCTTTCGTCTGGCTCCCATATATATTGTGATGCATATTTCAGTCACCTAGTTCCCTAAACTTAAATGGAATTTAATTTTTTAAAGAGGTGGCAACCCTCCTACAGGAAGTTAAGAAATCAAGCCTTTCAAAACCTATTTCGATTGATTCGCATCTTTTAATAATTCATTTATTTTATTAAATAATTTCAATTAAATTTTTTAACAGGTGGCAACTCTTTTAAAAAAATTAGGCCTTTATTACACATTCAAAGGACAAGGCATTTAATGTGATTTCTTTTTTTTTTGAAAATCGAACGAATGGTACTTTAGCAAAAAATTATGAAATTATTTTATGAAAGTTCAAGAAAGTGGCAGTTTTTCATTTTATTTTTCAACAGATAAAAGACCATACTTTTGATTTATGGAATAAAATGAAAACATGACTAGACATGATTTTTAGATTTAGTCCTTTAAATTTAGTTAAATTTTTATTTTCTACAAAATATATTTGCACTTAATATGTAGCGAGTCTAAACTACAGAATTTAATTTTTTTTTAAATAACTTAAAGCAATTTTAAACGAAAAAATTAAAAATTTAACTTAATATCTCATAAGTTATATTTTTGACACTTTTTTTTCGTGAAATACCCAAAACTGATGTGGCTCTGACTAAAATATTTGGTTTAAAATGCGTCAACTTCATTTTTTCATTTAGTTATTCATTTTATACAAAATTTGGGACCGGCGCATTTCCAATAATATACATATATATATATACAAAATTTTTGATTTTTACCCCGCTCGCACAGCACCGAAAGAAACAAAACATTCGTTTTATTTGACACAGTCTAGTGCATGTACATATATAACAACAAAAATAACTTAACGCTTATGCAAAATTTCGTGCTTTTGAAAATTTGTTCAACACTAATGCACTTTTCGTTTCACCATATCAGCGTTGGTTTTTTTTTTTTTGTGTTTTTTTTCACAAATTTCTTAATAACATCTCTCTTGGTCAGTTCACCATTTTAGCTATGGGGAACACATTGGCGGGCAATACGAATTGAACGATTTTTGTTTCTCGAAAGATAAACAGCGCAAGAGCTTTGCGGCGGAAAGCAACGGACCACCTTAAGAGTTTCCGTAACAAATAAAGGTCGTAAAAGACTCTTTGTGTTGTGAATCATTACAAACAAGACCGACATTTCTTTGGCTAATTTTTATTACAGAAAACCTCTTTTGTTCTTTGTTTTTATCACCTCACATACCAATTTTAAAACAACATTGTAACGGCACTGCAAAAGGTCGAACATTGGCATATCGAAGGTCACGGCAAGATGGTATCTGCATGACTCTGTTGTAGTTGAGGGTGAGAGTGGGGAAACACGGTTGAAACTAAGTTCCATTGTATTTTGGAGTTTTAGTAGAAATTCGTGTTGGCGAAACAAGTTTCCAACATTCCGACCACAGAATTTCAAGTTTGTTGAAAAAATATGAGCTTCTTAGCTTAGCTGGTGCAGTTCTTTTCCCTTATAAAATATATTTTAATTTCTTCACTATCATTTATTTGCATTATACGTACTTTACTTCTATATCTTGTATATAATTTAATATTTGCCTTTCTTTTTAATTGGCAATTAATCAACTATCCCACGGATAGTAACAATTTCTCAGCAGCTGCACTCAAACGCATAACATTTGAATTTTATGCGGCAAATTATTAACTATGAATTGCAATTGCTATTTAACTGATAATAAAAATTAGCTGTTATACATCCTTGCAGGAAAAAATCAGTAAAAATATATGCAGTAACTTATCATAAAACGCGTTTAAAGGAAAAGACCACACCTGCTGGTAGATAAATCTGTACAAGTCTAATTTTAAAAATGGCTTTCATTTATACTTGGAACACAGACCTTCCTCAGCTCTTAGCCACATTGAAAAACTACTTGTATCAATGCCTTCATAATCGCCATATTTCGAGCAAAAAAGTTTCAGGAAAGCAGCTATTTTTGTAGCGTAAAATATATTTTGTTCTTGCTGTCAATATCTTT